AGAAGGGTGCAACAATGAATGAATGGAATCCCAAAATCTCTGTAGATGTTCATTGAAATGAAAAATAAACAACCTAAATTTAAAAAAAAAAGAAGGCATAAAGAGATTTGAGCCCAAAAGCAAGCTCTTAAATTTTATTTTACTGATTAGTACCCAACAGCCAGTGGGAGTAAAACCCTTGATGCTCCTCTTCTGATGCACATAAAAGATAAGCCCACTTTAAACCTTGGGCTCAGCAGCAGACCCAATGTAGAAAATCTGAACCACACAGGACATGCACTTTGTCCAGGTACAGCGTTTCCATCAAAATTGCCTCAGTTTGCATCACGCAATACCCAGTGCACCATGTCTCCAGCAGAGTCAAAGCTACCACCCCATTTATAAATGCCCTCCATAAGTTTCAGTTACAGCTTTCCCATCTTAAAAGTAATTTTTTAAATTTTTTTATTGTAAAAAACATATGGGGATCTGAGGGGATAAGGGTTTGGAGCAGAAGACTGAGGGTAAGCAGGGATGAAATCACAGGACTGCACACCCTGGTGGGTGGAGGAGTGAATGAAGGAGATGAGAAAGATCCATCCGGGGACCAGAAAAGGCAGTGTAATGGTGAGCATAGTCCAGTGGTGATTAATTTTTTAAAAATACAAAGAAATTGTCTTTTTAATTTGTGGGTTTCTCATTTGAGCATGGGGCACAGACTCTCTGGCTGCTTCATGCTGAACAGGGGCTTTAAGATGAAGGGAAAGGGAAGCCCACTTTAACACTTTGCTGGTGGTCCTGAGTTGAAGCTGCGTGCCTTCTTGTTAAGTTAGAAGATATTTTCCTGACATTTTCTGCACTCTGGACTGCAAAGTGTTTGCCTAGATGAGTCTAGTGGGCGTGGCTGGCTAAACCTTGAGGCTCCATCCTCCTTTGCTTCCTTAGCTCGCAGTTATATTTCCTTTTTGTCTCTGTAACTGGGCTCAGAGTTCAAGTCTGGAGTAAGACTCAGGGTTCAGGTTACCTATAGGAAAGAGAGCAAACCTAGACAGAAAAAAATTTGTGAATTACAAAGGAAAGGACTTGGAGGTGTTATTTACAGATATACTGGATAAGAAGGTGGAGGAAAGTGGCTTAAATAAGGTTCCTTATACCCACCAGGTGGCTTTCCTCAGTGACTTGATGGCTCTCTGCGGGGCTGGGAGGCACTCCGCAGGGGCCAGGCAGCTTTCCCTGGGGGCCAAGTGGCCTTAAAAATAGTTTAAGCTATGCATTCTATCACCCAAAATTTCAGGGAGGAAAATTACAAACAACTCGGAATGTAAAAAATAAGCACGCAACAAACCAGAACAGTTACTGTAATTCATAATGATCCACTGTGGTGTTAAAGAGCTTATTGCTCAAAATGGCTTTCATATCCATTAATTTACTTTCGTGTGGATGGGCAGGAGTATGCAAATAAAGTATGCCAGCCTATCCACAAGGGGATTGGCTGGTCTTGCCATTCAATTGAGCAGATCCAGCAGCAGAATTGGAGGTCTCACCAACAGTAAAAGAGAAGCAGGCACGCAGTGGATGTCTCTTGGGACCAGAATTGCTTGGAGCAGCTAAAATCTAACAGCAGCAGCATCAGCTAGACTTAGAGCAGCAGCACGAGCTAGACCTAGAGCAGCAAAAGCAGTTGCCAACGCAGAAAACTAGAGACCTGATGTGAGATGGAGTGGACCCTGGGGCTTCTTCTGCACTGAACCAGAGCTAAAAACATTTTACCCAAGTTTATTGGAGACTGAGCACAGGGGCAGGGGAGAGCCATAATTGGAAGGACATAGAACTTCATAACACTGGCCTAAAACCAGGAGGCTCAAGGCTGAAGGTTCTGTGAGCACATTTCAGACGCTGTCCTGACTATTCTACAAACTTGCTATTGCAGCCTTTTGACTTCCTCAATATCGTATGGTCTGTGAGCTACCACATCAGATATGGTTCCAGTAAGACTGGTATTGAGATGAGTAGAAAGAGGTGTGGGAGTGTGAAGGAAATGTCTGACCTCATGGCAATTGGTTTTGTGTTGCTGATATTATTAATGAGCACAGGTCCCCTTTGTGACGTTGGTAAATGTCAGATGTGACTGTTCCCACAGGCCCTTCCTCTTTTTAGGCCTACATCAGAGAACTGTATACAATGGGGTTTTCAGAAATTGATTTCTTTTTCTTGTGATCAGTGGCTGATTTCATGTAAGTAGACTGCATATCTTTCTGTAAGTATCAAGAGTGCTCACACCACCCAAAGACTCCATATGTTTTAGCAGGTGACTTTATGAATTAAAAATGAGATATATTTAAATATTCTAGCTTCGTTGACAATGCCAAATACTTTTATTCATCTAAATTTTATATTTAAATGTGACACTAGAATGACCTTAGAGCACTAGAGATGTATTAATGCAGGGTACAGGATAAATTCAAATCTTCACCTCTTTCTTTGTTGATGGTACTGAGGCTCCCCTGTTCTTGCTTTCTTCTCTCCCTTTGTATCTTTTATTAGATAAAAGGCATTACAGGCTACACCTCAGGGAAATGTCCTTTTCCATCAAATCAGAGCTATGATTGGATTAAGGAATTTGCATTCTACCAATAGACCTTTTATAGCTGGTTCATCTGACTTAACAATAATCTGATAAATTATCAGATCACCACTTTAACATACTTTGATGTGAGGATGGTTAAACATCATCTGGCTTACTTATTTAATTTTAATTTTATTTTCGTTTCATACACAATTTGTATACATAGTGTTTCACATTTTCCTTCATTCATATTGTGTTTCATATAATCATTTTATTGTATTATGTTTTATAACATTAATCACCATTGAACTAGCACCACCATTACCTCATCCTTTCAGATCCCCACCAAATATTTCCCATTATTTTTACCCTCCCTTCATCCACCAAATTGTGTGACCTATGATTTTCCCTGGTACCCATCCTTACCCCTCTGCCCCAATTCCTTCCCCTCTTGCACCCCCATACACATTTTGCTACTCATCTTTCTATTTTATTTTTTATTAGTTTATAATAGTTTTATGCAGTATTTGTCCTTTTGAGACTGAATAGTTCACTCAGCATAATGCTCTCCAGTCTCTCCCAAGTTACATAGTATTTTTCAAAATTGTTGTTCCCGAGTGCTGCATAGTATTCCATTGTGTGGATGTGCCGTAATTTCTCAATTGATTCAGTTGTGGTTAGACTTTTGAGCTGTTCTCATGTTCTTGTGATAGTGAATAACACTGCTCTAAACATTGGTGTACAAATCTCTGTTTGTGTCCTTGGAGCATATTCTTAGTAGTGGAATAGCTAAGTCACATGGAGTTTCTATTGTCAGCTTTTTGAGGAAATGCCAAACTGCCTTCCAGAGTGGTTGTACCATTTTACAATACCACGAACAGTGTATGAGAGTTACAATCTCTCCATATCCTCTCTAACATTTATTGCTTGGTGTCCTGTTAAACTTTGCCACTGCTACTGGAGTGACAGCAGCACAACATGTTCGTAATCAAAGAAATCCTGATGGCTTGAGACATAGGCCATCACATCAGGGGCTGGTCAACGGGAGATGGGTGTTGAATGCAGTAAGCAAAAGTAGGAAGGAATGGTGGTGGAGTAAAGAAAGGGTGGATCAAAAAAAAAACCCAAACATGTAGTGGGGGTGGGCAGCAACTGGGCAAATGTCTTTCATCTACTGTTTCCTGTGGAATGCTTGTCTGTCAGATACTATTATATATATTTAAAGATTGAGACAGACTAGGAAGAAGGATTGGCATTCTACTTCTGAAATGACGGGCCTTCGAAAACCCTATGTACAACAGAGCACACTTAGACTATCACTTGGACTAGCAGACATGGCAACTGAGACTGAGATCTTAGAAATGGAAATACAGAGAAGAAGGAACAGCTGTAAGCAGACACTAGTGATTGGAACGTGTAATGTGAGAAGCATGAATGTAGGAAAATTGGACATTGTTAAGAAAGAAATGGAACGCATAAATAT